GTTGAGACAGTGCCTCACAATACACATCAGACTACCCTGAACTTACAGAGATATACCTGCCTCTCATTCCCAAATGCAGGATTAGAGGTGTGTGCCATCAACCCACCTCACCCAATGATTTTTCTAATTTTAAGGACTCTGGGGCTTGGGAGATGGCTCAGTAGTTTAAAGCACAGCACCCACATGGTAGCTCACAACCATCTGTAATGAGATCTGGTGCCCTCTTCCGGCATGCAGGCATACATGGAGGCAAAATGTTGTATACATAATAAATAAATCTTTAAAAAAAAAAGAAAAAATAGAGTGGCTTTCATCAATAAGTAAAGTTTGTCTAGATGTGGTGGTGCACACCTGTGATCCCAGCAAGATAATCACCAAGAATTCAACACTAGTCTGGCCTACACAGTAAGACTCTACTTCAAAAACAGTGGGGGCGGGGAGGTGTGGAGTCTATATCATACTGACTATAGACAGGCACATGGTTTACTGTGAACACTAATATATAGTAACAATGAAGCAATTGTGGCTGTGCTGTAGCCTAACCTAAGGAGGCTTGGTAACGTCTCTTTATGACTCTTGCACTATCACCCGCAGCAGCTCCACGCTCCACAGAAGCGAGGCTAGTCTGGTACTTAAAATGGTCATCTACGTGAGTGAGGCCATCGCTGGCCAATGAGCTGTTTCCAGTAATCTGAGTGTGTGTTTGTGAGTGAGATGTTAACAGAACCACTCAGAGAACGTCACAGAATCAAGAGACTATGTCACTGTTGGGGACTGTCTTTGGACTAAAGACCAAAAGAGCAGAGCTGGAGAGGTGGCTCAGCAGTTAGGACACTGGATGCTCTTCCAGAGGATCTGGGTTCAATTCCCAACACCCACATGGTGATTTACAACCATCTGTAATCCACTTACAGTGGATCTGATGCCCACTTGTGGCCTCTGCAGGCACCAGGCAGGAAAGTGGTACACAGACAGCCATGAAGAACTATTCTTCAATGTTGGTATGTTTTATACAACCTTTATGGTCTTGGTCATAAATTCCCTGATTTTCTGGGTATGTAATTTCTGATCACTACCAAACCACACTGTCACCTGAGGGAAAGACAGACTTTATTGACCTGGGTTCTCCTAGAGTGCTATGCCCAGAACTGTAGGCAACGTTAGGTCACAGACACCTCTTTAGAGGGGATCAGCCATACCTTCTGTCTGAAACCGCTAATCTGCTATCATAGTAGCCCCAAGGTATCGTGTGACAACAGGATTAACTTCCTAAACTGTGGCCTGTCCAGACCAGTATCAACATCTGTTAAATTAGAACTCCTCTCCTATAGTCTCAGAGACCTCTCCCTCCTAACGTCTATCAAAGTAAATGACCCACCTTGTTCTTAGTTCTGTTAGATATTCCATCCCAGCTTATCCCTCTGGGTGGTGGCAATAATAAAAGACCTGACTAATTGAGAACCCTCTCGATCCATTTATTCTTAAAAACGGTAGTGAGTGATCACTCCATCTTCAGACTAAGTACTGGCTCCTTCCAAGAAAGTTTTGGCAATCAAGGTCTACAGAAGGGGCTGGGGAGATGGCTCAGCAGTAAAGAATGCTTACTGTTCTTGGGAAGGGCCTAAGTTCCATTCCTGGCATCTGCACAGCACCGCACAGATGCCTGTAACACCAGTTTAAGGAACTCCAAATACCTCTTCTGACCTCAGCAGGCTCCTGCATACATGATGCACGTAAACTCATACACACACATATGCATAATAATAAACACATAGGAGGTGGTGTGAGGGCTCAGAGGGTAAAGGTGCTTGCTGTCAAAGGACCCACATGGTGGAGAGAACCAACTCCCGAGTTGTCTTCTGACCTCCACACAAATGAGTACACACACACACACACTATATATATATACATACATACATATATATATGTGTGTATATATATATACATATATATCGTCAGGACAGCCAGGGCTACAAAGTAAGACCCTGTCTCAAAAACAAACAAACCAATAAATGAAATATAACTTTTAAAATAATCTTTTTTAAAAAAAGAAAGACCCAGGGTGGTGGCAAAAGACAGCCAAGCCCCACCCCCACAGTGGGCATCACTACAAAGAACAAACACATGATGGAGAGGTGGGAGAGAGAAGAACAGAGCAGTGTGTGCACTGTGGAGAGAGGCAGAACTGGAGACATGATGACAGTGGCAAAGGACAGGGCCAAGGTCTGTATGCTACCATTCCCCAGTCGGTTCGCTGGGGTGATGACAACAGCCTAGCGCTTAAGCAGGTGCAGACTCAGTCCCTGAACTTGCCACCTGGCCTCAGGATCCTCCTGGCTCTGGGCAATGACAGAGAACCAGGACCAAGATGAGGAAAGGTTCACGTTCTGGATTAGACCTCCCTGAAGGACCACTGTGGCCCCTGATGGTGTCTGTGGTCCATGCTCCTGTCCCAGACCACAATGAAGTCTGAGATTATGGTCTTATGCTGTCAGTACTGCTGCTTGAGGCCTTGTTGATGTCTTTGGGCTTTGCTGCCTTGGGATACTATGCTGATGTCAGCAGCACGTGCAACCACCCGTGGCCGTGCAACAGCTGAGGGTCATGAGTGGGTCAGTAGTCCTGATACAGCCAAGGGCCATGTTACCACCAAATCTCATAGGGTTGTCTGTGGTCTGGGTTACTGCCTGAAGCCATGTTAATGCCCTGAGGGCTCACAAGAGCTTGCCCTGTCCATCTAAGAAGAGTTGGTCCTGGCCCTTGTGGGCACATAGCACTGTGGTACAGGCAGTGGCAATGGCATGGGAGAGCTGGCTCTGCCCTGCTCCCACCAAAGGGCTCTCCTCAACTGATGGTTTCTGATGTGGATATAGGCAGAGAAAGATTCATCCTTCCCTAGAGGGCTGGTCACTAGGAATGCGACCATGTTCCAGTGAATACATTCCTGGTGTGGGAGGTCCTTCTGTATATGTGTTGCTTTTATTGGTTAACGAATAAAGCTGCTTTCAGCCAATGGCTTAACAGAATATAGTCAAGCTGGAGAGGATATATATAGAGAGAGTAGGTGGGGTCAGAAGAAGCCATGTAGCCACTGCAGGAGACAGATGGAGCCCACTGAAACCTTTAAATTAAGATTTATTTATTTATTATGTATGCAGTATTGTCAGTGTCCTGTCTGCGTGTGTGCCTGCAGGCTAGAAAAGGGCACCAGATCTCATTACAGATGGTTGTGAGCCACCATGTGGTTGCTGGGAATTGAACTCAGGACCTTTGGAAGAGCAGGCAGTGCTCTTAACCACTGAGCCATTTTCCCAGCCCAGCCCACTGAAACTTTGCCAGTAGGCCATGACCTCGTGGTGATGCATAGATTAATGGAGATGGGTTAGTTTAGGATATACGAGCTAGCTAGAAATACGCTTAAGCTATTGGCCAAACAGTATTGCAAATAATATAGTTTCTATGTGATTATTTCGGTAGTCTGGGTGGTCGGGAAACAAATCTCTCCCAACACAACCCAATATGTACTTTTTTTGAGGTGGGCACAGGGGACGTGGGAAGACTGAGAGGTCAATGTAATTGGGGTGCATGATATGAGATTATTGGTTATTTAATCAATAAAAAATGAAAAAAAAACCTTCCAAGACTTTCTTTTTCAAACAACAGTTTTGTCATAAGAACACTTACTGAGCCATTCTTTTCTGAGCCTTTCCCACCGCTGAACAGGCAAAGGTCAGTTAAGACTGAGTGGTTTAAAGACAGACAAGGAGACAGTGTTTTACCTAAACTAGGTATTGTGTCTCAATCTGTAATAACAGCATTTGGAAGACTGAAGCAGCAGAATCACCAGTTCCTGGCTTAAAACACCACACAAAGGGTGTAAAATATATACTGAGGAACTCATCCATCATGTATATCCTTCAACACTTCACATATCTATCGGAAGATATCCCACCTACAGGCCGACATCAGAAGATATCCCACCTACAGGCTGACATCGGAAGATATCCCACCTACAGGCTGACATCGGAAGATATCCCACCTACAGGCCGACAGCAGAAGATATCCCACCTACCGGCTGACATCAGAAGATATCCCACATACTGGCTGACACTTCCCTCACTTTATTCCTAGCCACACACCCCGACATCTAACCTATAATAAAAGCATCACCTACAGGCCATATAAAAAAATGAATAGTTAATACATAAACCATTCTACTCATCTTCTCTACGTGAAACCCAGGGCACAGTACATGCTAGGCAAGTGCTTTACCACTGAGCTATAGCCACGGTTCTAGTCTTCCCTTTTGGCATAGCTAGAACCAGATTTAAGTGGTCATAAACTACAACTTCAGTGAGGATGGAGGTATCACAAAAGGGTAGATTTGAGGTCTTATGCATAACCAGGGCTCAAATAATGAAACCTATTCTGAACTCAGAATTAATGCTTGAGACTCTTTGTAGCAATTCATCAGCAAACCGGCCTGCTCCATGCAGAACTATACCCGTCCTAACACCGTGTCTGGAGACTCCTTATTTCTTCAAGTATGTGCTGGGCAGTGATGGGATTAGGTCATCTTGTTCGAAACTGACATAGGAAAACTGTGTCTAAAAATATCAGAATCTAGAGTCAGACATAGTGGCTCAGGCCTTTGGGGCTTCTCATGAATTGAAAACCAGCCTAGTTTAAGAATGAGACCCTATTTAAACAACAAAACAAAGACCAAAACTAAAAAATAACCTCCATTCAGTTTCTGGGCTGAAGAAAAAAAAAAGCAATTAGAGACTTCCCCCTACCAAGTGGATTTGCCAAGTGAATCAACAAACACTTGTACCTAAGGGGTCATTAGACATTGAGGAAAAGGATGAGCTCTCCTTCCATCAGTGAACACCCTCATAAAAATACAATTTTCATTTCACTCTTAGAGACATTTATTTTTTATTGTTTTCATGGGTAATTTTTAAAGACATTTTTGAGTAGTCAAACATGTGTACCTCTTCCCCCTCCAACTCTTCGCATGTCCCTGGACGAACTCATCTTCATGACTTCTTCTTTTTTGCTACACACACACACACACACCTCCATATAAGTACAACCTGCTGAGTCAATCTGTGTTGCTGATCTTTGTATTGTTTACTAATAACCACTGGGAACTGGATGCATAGTCTAGCAGAGAGCCCATCCCTGGAGAAGACTGATTGTTCTTTTCTTAGCTGCTATTCCTATTCCTTTCCAGTAGCTTCTCATCTAGAGGCGGGGCCTTGCGAGGTTCCCATCTATGCTTTGCCGTCAGCTGGCATCGGCATTGTGCAGGTGTTATTTAGGCAATAACTGCTGAGATTTCATGGGTGCCGATGTCATATACAGAAGACCCTACAGTACGGCATCCTGGTCCTCTCAAGGGTTGTGCTACAGATGTATTCGCTGGAGAGAGGCACAACACAGACCACAGTTCTTTACGTTTTCATCAGCTATGGATCACTGTAGTGGCGTCCATCTGCTGCAAAGGGAAGCTCCTTTAATGGGGGAGAGGGAGCGGCGTATGCGGACATCTGGGTAGGTATTTAGAATGCTGCTAGGAATTGTACTGGCTTAGGAGGGCAGTAGCATAGGTTTTCCACTAGGGTCCGTGACTCACGGGCCGCGGGCAGTTGACCACACAATTCCAGGCCTAAAGTCCATTAGGTGGCTGGTCCACTTGAGATACAAGTGCCACCACTGCCCCTAATCGTGCCGGGTTGGTCACTGTTGCTTGTAGGCTTTACAGCTGATTAGGGTTTTTAATTGCTTTTTTTGGCAGCTTGCATGGCACCTTGAGACACTATGAGAGCTAATCCTCTAGGAGGCAGCTTTCAAGTCAGTTCCAACTTGAATCCTGGTATAGACATTTGTAGAAATAATAATTTCACAGCCACATATAGTGGCAAGTGCCTGCAATCTCAGTTACCCAGAAGGCCTTGGCAGAATCACCAAGTTCCAAGCCAGGGCCTTGTCTCAAAATTGAAAAAGGACAGGGGATGTAGCAGTGGTAGCCGAGCACTTTTCTAGCATATTTGTGCCCTGGGTCCAATTTCCACTTAAGAAAAAAAAAAAAAGGATCAGTTATTACTACTTTTTTTAGGTGCTGAAAGGGAGCCTAGGGCTTCCAGCATGGCTACCACTGAGCACCAGATACCACCACCAGCCTGCAGGAACAGCATTGCTCATTTCTGTCTGTGCATCAGATTGGTCTCAAAATCACGATCCCCCTGCCTCAGCCAACCTCAGCCTCCAGAGGATCGAAGCGGGCCTAACCAATACGTCCACCTTAATAGGTTTTGAGGCAGTCTCCCTGTAGCTCAGGCCGGCCTGAACTCCTCGCCAAACCTGAAAGTCTGATTGCCCTGTCAGCCCTACACTGTGACCTGCTCTTTTTTTAAGTTTTGGGTGGCTTGACTTTTATGTATGTGTAAGTGCACACACTCACACAAGCCGTATGTGTCTGGGTGCTGGGTGCCCGCATAGGGCAGCAGGTAGCAACCGCCCTGGGAGGGTCCTCGGTACCGAACTGGGCTCCTGTGACTTGGCAGTAAGTGCTGTCAAGTGGTAAGACATCTTTCCGGTGCCCCGCCCACTTGCGTTCCGGTTCACCTTGTCTGGTCCAGGACATCTCGTTGCTTCTGGCTTCCTAACTCATCCTTCTGTGCATTTACAGGCACGCGCTTCCATGTCACCAATCTCCGCGGGGCCCGGGCCACGCTCCCGGTGGCTCTCCATGCTCGCCCAGGATGGGGCGGTCCCCGAGCCCCACTGCAGGCCGGGACACCCAGCCCGGCCGCACGTTTGTGGCGCTAAATTCGGGCCAATCGGTTGGCGTCCCCCGGGAGACACGCGACAGGCTGGGCACGTGACGCGTGCGGGGCAGCCGCCCACTGGGCCGCAGGTAGCGCGATGGCCGCACTTCCAATGGCTCGCACAACTTCCAGTCACGTGCGGTGTTTACGGACTCGGCGGCTACGGGCGGGTCACGTGACCGTGACGCGCCGCGCCGCCGTCCAATGGCGCAGCAGCGCTCCCTCGCAAACCGGGAACTAGTTCCCCTCCACGAATGGCAACGCGGAGGGGCGGGGCCCGCCTGTCACGTGAGCGGGGCGGGGCGGGGCGGCGCGCAGGCGCCGTGAGGACCCGGTAGCGGCGGTGGCGGCGGCGACGGCGGCGGCGGCGGCGGCGGCGGCTGCTGGTCGCTGGCAGAGCGCGAGACGCCATGGCGGCGGACGGAGAGCGCTCCCCGCTGCTGTCCGAGCCCGGCGACGGCGGCGCTGGAGGCAACGGCTTAGCGGGCCCGGGCGGGAGCGCGACCGGGCCCGGTGGAGGCCTGACGCCCTCCGCACCTCCGTACGGAGCCGGTAAACATGCCCCGCCCCAGGGTAAGCCGGCGGTCGGAGGTGCACCGGGGCCTAGGGGCGGATCGGGCCGGGGGCGGAGCCTGCACCGGCGCCAGGTGCGGCCCCGTAGCACCTGTCACCCGCGAGGCATCCTTCCTCCGTGGAGCATCCGTGGGAAGTGTCCGCATGATGAATGGGTTTATCTGCTTCCTCTTCAGCATTCCCCCCGTTCCCCGAGGGGCACCCAGCCGTGCTGCCGGGAGAGGACCCACCCCCCTACTCACCCCTGACTAGCCCGGATAGTGGGAGCGCCCCCATGATTACCTGTCGAGTCTGTCAGTCTCCGATCAACGTGGAAGGCAAGATGCATCAGCATGTAGTCAAATGTGGTGTCTGCAACGAAGCCACCGTGAGTTATACCTGTTTGCAAAAGCAGGCCTTGTTTCCGGGATCCTCTTTCCGACTCTAGACCCTGTTGAAGACCTCTTCCTGAACCCACTTTCAGTTCCTGGATCTTCACCAGCCATTTCCTCAGACGCCCGTCACCAGAGAAAGTGCCTACCAGCTCTTGCTTTCACCCCTTTGCTGGATCCTGAAGTGTAGTTCTCATTGACAGTTGTAGTGGCTTTTGATTCTTGTATTTTGGGGGTCTCTTGTTTGTTTTTGTGAGCAGTCTCACAATGATCCAGGCTCCCCTCAGACTGCAGACTGAGTGCTGAGGTCACAGACAGACTGTGCTAGCAACATTTGTTTCTCTTAAATGTCTAACTTTTCCTTTCTCGGTGATGTTCTTGTAGAGGGTTGGGTTTTTTTGCTGATATACCCATTGTTCTTTTTTTTCATTGTTCCCTAGCCCATCAAGAATGCACCCCCAGGAAAGAAGTATGTTCGATGTCCCTGTAATTGTCTCCTTATCTGCAAGGTGACTTCCCAGCGGATTGCCTGCCCTCGGCCCTACTGGTAAGAGACATGAGGTGGGAAGGCTATACTTGGGAAAACTGTACAGAAAAAGAAACCAATAAAACAAAATAAAACCTGAAGCTGGGCAAGGTGGTGCATGCCTGTGGTCAGTCACCGCACCTGTGCGGTGGAGGCAGGACGATCTTTGCAGCACCTCCAATTCCTGGTCGTCCTGCCTACACCTCCCAAGTGCTGGGATTCTGTGTGTCATCAGATCTAGTTAAAATTAAGGACTTTTAAAAACATACTTTTCCCCCTGTATAGCAAAAGAATCATCAACCTAGGGCCTGTGCATCCAGGACCTCTGAGTCCAGAACCACAGCCAATGGGTGTCAGGGTCATCTGTGGACATTGCAAGAATACGTTTCTGGTGAGGAGGGATATGGGAAACCCTGGAGGAGGCAAGTACTAGGAATAGTAGTGACTCCTGACCAAGACTGTCTTGTTTCTCATCTGTCATCCTCCTCCTTGCCTCAGAGTTCTCATTGCAGGAAAGCCTTCTTGCTATGGTTGTTTTTCTTTTTCCATAGTGGACAGAATTCACTGACCGAACCTTGGCACGATGTCCTCACTGCAGGAAAGTGTAAGTGGTTAGCTATTGCACTGGTAACTGGGTAATGTATGGCATAAAGTCAGCAGGGCTATTCCAAATCACTGTTTCTGTTGGCTCCCCACAGGTCATCTATTGGCCGCAGATATCCTCGGAAGAGATGTATCTGCTGCTTCTTGCTTGGTTTACTCTTGGCAGTCACTGCCACTGGCCTTGCTGTGAGTAGTCTTGACACAGACCTTGTATCTGCCTCATCGGCAGGCTAAGATCTGAGAATGGTGAAAGAGCTGGGTGTTGGGGTGTGGCCTTGAAGCCAAGAATAAGAATAGAGGCATCAAGACCCCATCTATGGTACGAAAACAGGGAGTGAGTTGCTGCCGGTTGAGATGTGGGTCTGCTGATGAAAGTGTTGGCCTAGCGTGCATGACGCCCTGGGTTTGATCTCAGCACCGTACAATATGAGTGTAGTGGTGCAAACGTAGGTCCCAGCAACCAGGAGGATCAGATTTTAAGGTCATTCTCAACTACTGGATTTGAGGCTGCTCAGGCTGGCTACATGAGGCCCTTGTCAGTGGGGAGCATTTCCAGGTCCAGGTAAACTGAAGTTAAAGGTGGCTAATGAACAAGGAGTAGAAGGTCTTCCTCTCTGGAGAGAAGAGCGAGTGAAAACTGCTGTCAAATGTCTGGGATGGCAGGAGGGAACTTTGGAAAGGGCCCTGAAGGTGGTTACAGGTGGCTAGGGAACAAAGACAGAGTTGGTGTTTTATTACTGCTTTCTAAGACTTTACAGCAGTAGACACCAAAGGTAACCTCTTCTTTTTCTTCTTCCTCGTCTGTCAGTTTGGCACATGGAAGCCTGCACAGCAATATGGAGGGATCTACGCAGCCTGGGCATTTGTCATTTTGCTGGCTGTTCTATGTTTGGGCCGGGCCCTTTATTGGGCCTGTATGAAGGTCAGCCATCCTGTCCAGAACTTCTCTTGAGACCCTTGATCCAGTCTGTGCCTGGCAGCTGCCTGGCAGCAACAGTAACACTACAAAAGGCTCTCTGTGGACTTCTGCAAGGAAGCCAAGCAGCTGCCTCCCTCTCCCCTGGGGAGAGGTAGGAAGGAACCAGTCCCTTACTTAGGTTTGGAAGGGTAGGTAAGACCATTGCTGGCTGTCTGCTTTCCTTCAGGGTTGCTGTTTAGGGTAAATAGGCAAAACGTTGCCCCTAAGCCTGGATCCTAAAGATGGTTCTAGCCACGTCATTCCTGTATGTGCTCCCTGAGAACCATTCCTGACCCTTAGACATTCCAGGGCAGGGTGGGGGTGGGAAGTGGGGGGGTGTTCCCCTCCCTCTTGTGCACCATTAGGACCTTGCTGCTGCTATTGCACTTCACCAGGGGCTGGCTCTGGCCTCAGTACCTTCAGTCCCTTCTCCCCACTTGTCCTGTGGGGTGGAGTCAGCCACTGCTCTGTACAGAACTACAGGAACTGATGTATATAGAACTATTTAATATGGAATATGGTCCCCTAATTCTGTATTTCCCTAAATTCCTCCTGACTTTCCTTACTTCCAGTTGCAGTACTGAACTGGGCTGAGGTAGGGTCGCTGTCTCAGGAGAGGTTAGGGATTCATCTGTGCTTGTAAATAAATAATGTCATGACTCTAACCTTTCCCATTCAACAACTTTTGTGCATGAAAAAATAAAAAAGGGAATTTGTAGATTCACAAAGGGAAAACGAAGATAGCCAAGTTGAAAGTAGGGCCTCTTTATTTTTACTTTGATTGTTCAAAGGAACCCAATGTTTGGTTTAACATTTAAAACCAGGGGGTGGGGGGGACGGGACACGGGACCAGATACAAAAACAAAACCCTAAAGAACACTTATTTGAAAGTGTATGGGGAGAGGAGGCTATTTCCCAGGCATAGATACTTCAGCAGGTTTCACAGGGCGAGGTAGAGGGTGATGGGGCAGTGGTCACTGCCGAGAGCCTTGGAGCGGATCTTGCTGTCACACAATGCAGGTAAAAGAGAGTGTGACAACAAAAAGTAATCGAGGCGCCAGCCAACATTCTTAGCCCGAGCATTCATCATGTAAGTCCAAAAGGTGTAGGCATAGGCGGTGCTGGGGTAGAGATGCCGGAAGCTGTCAGCCAGCGGGACATCCTGCAGCAGCTCCCCAAAGCCTTGGCGCTCCTGGGGAGTGAAGCCAGCATTCTTTTTGTTTCCTTTGGGGTTTCGAAGGTCAATCTCTTCATGAGCCACATTGAGGTCCCCACATAGCACAAGTGGCTTTCGGGAAGCCAAGTCCTTCAGAAACTTGCGAAAGGCTTCATCCCATCGCTGTCGGTACTCCAGTCTTACCAGACCCCGGCCTGCATTGGGGACGTAGGCTGTTACCAGGACAAAGGACTCAAACTCAGCCACAATCACCCGGCCTTCTTGATCATGTTCTTCCTCACCTATAGAAATAAACCAGCATTTAAAAAAAAAAAAAAAAAAAGTCTAAGAATCAGCAGAGTTAACAACTGGCCAAAGAATATTCAGACATGAAAACCAATAGGGTCTCACCAATGCCATAAGAGACTTTGAGTGGGCACTGGCGGGAGAGTAAACCCACACCACTATATCCTTCCTTGTCTGATGGAGCCAACCAGTATTGATGGGTGAGTCCAGGCAGGTCTTGAAGTTCAGCTGGGAGTTTGTTCTCTGAGCATTTGGTTTCTTGGAGGCACAAGATATCTGGTGCTTCTTCCTTTACCCACTGAAGGCAAACATGAAAAGTTAAAAACGTGTGTGCTACATACCATACGCAGGATGGAGTCCCTGTGCATAAGGAGTTTAAGCAACAGGATACACATATGTGGCCGACAATGGGACCTGTGAGTGCTTGTTGAACATTCGGAGCACGGCAAAGTACTCTTAACTACTGAGCCTTCTCCAGTCCCACCCCCACTTAGATCTTTAGTAGTTGGGAATGAGGTGGCACTAGAGACCCAGAGGTTTTTACCCCAATACTCTAGCGATTAGTTAAAAAGGATATAAACAAGGAGATTGTGACTGAAGGAACAGTCGTCCCCCAATCTACAAGCAAGAGAAAAACAGCATCCTCTGGACTCAAAGAAAACAATTTTTTTGGGGGGGGAGGGGGGTGTTTCGAGACAGGGTTTCTGTATAACAGTCTGGCTGTCCTGGAACTCACTCTGTAGATCAGGCTGGCCTCAAACACACAGAGATCCGCCTGCCTCTGTCTCCCAAGTGCTGGAATTAAAGGTGAGCACCACCGCCGCCGCCCAAGCCCCAAGATGATTAATTCTTAAGACTAGTCTACCAAGGAAAGTCTACTTCCCTCCTGACTTGTACTCACATCTAAACCTTTCTTCTTAATCCAGGCTCGAAGCCCATCCACATTCCAGGAGCATATCTTGAGAGTGGCAGATTTGCCACTGGGTGAGGTTTTCTGATCTGGAGGGTCCTCATACAAAACAGAGCCCTCTCCCGCGGCCTCTTTCTCGTTTTTCTTTGTTGCCCCTTTTCTCTTCTTGGCCTCCGGCTCTATAAAACAAAGTAAGAGCTGGCGGTTTCCAACCTCGGGCCAGTGTTAACTATAACTCGTCCCACGAGGCGCACTAGTTACCCAACTTCTCGGGCTCCTGCAGTGTAACTTGGACCATATTTACCGTGTTCACGGTGGTCTAATAGAGTCGTAAACTTGCCGGGGTTGGGGGATGGGGGTGCCCACGGGCTCATTTCATCTCCTTACCTGACTTGGGTTCTTCCCCGTCTTCTGCTGCCGCTCTCTTCTTACGCTTTGGCATCCCGGTGACGAAAGCCCTTAGGCGCCTGGCACACCGAAGTAGTGTTTACTGCGCTGCCTGCAGATGAGAAACGGCGAAATCAAACGCGAAGAGCCTCCTCCCTCGGGCATTCGAACACCGCGGGGCCTCGTTCACCCAGTCTTCCCGCCACGCGCCCCGTGAGGCCCTACAGCGAGCAAGCTGGCCGAACCCGCTACCTGGCCTCCCCGCGAAGCCCGGGAGCCCCTCACTGCACAAAGAATGGAGCCTGCCCGTTCCCACGTGGGAGCCTGGTGCGGTCACGTAACCCGACCCGTCCTTTTCCCCCGGCGTGGGTCGGGAGCGCGGTGATTGGTCCGCCTGGCGCCTCGTGACGTCACTTCTGGTGCCCGCAGGCCCCGTCGCTCGATTCGAGGCTGTTCGCGGTGGTGCCGGTTCCGACTAGTCCCGTACTCGGGATCCCGCGTCGGCCACCATGCCCGCTGTGCTGGGGTTCGAAGGCAGCGCCAACAAGATCGGCGTGGGCGTGGTCCGCGACGGCACGGTGCTGGCGAACCCGCGGCGCACTTACGTCACGGCCCCGGGCACTGGTGAGCGCGCGGCGGCGTGTTTGGCCGCCGGGCCCCGCTAAGGGACTCAGAGATCTGTCTGCTTATGCCTCCTGAGTGCTGGGGTAAAAGGTGTGAGCCACCACTCCCGGTTGTTTTAAGGTTTTATTGAGCACCTTTTAATATGCTAAGCATTCTAAAATAAGTGTTCCGAGGTCGCTTGATAAACCGCATGATAAACATCATTGTTTAGCGCAGGGCGGTATCAGAAGTTACTGTATTTCGTAGCTATCTGTTTTTCACTACTCTCAAAGTGAAAATGGTTTCTGTGGGTTTTGAGAACTATGTAAAAGCACCAGGCACTGCACAATTCTCAATTAAGATTATTTACAAATTGTATCTTACACCCTCTCCCAAAGCACCCACACGCATATAAGCTGCGTGTACCTGTAAGGACTCCCCAAACAGGTGTGACGTTCCAGGTTACATAGTAGAAATATATGTGTGTTTAGAACTCACTCTTGTGCACTGGGCCTGGGTAAACCTGCTCCTGGCAGTTGTAGCGCAGTAGTTACTATATGCTAAGTCCAACCATGTGACCTGTGTGCAGTTCTGTGGGATTGCAGAGAGTCACTGAAGGGTAGGAAGTCTGTATAAACTGAATTGATTATGAAGGCTATATGTGAACATGGGCATCTCCAGAAAACCTACGTAGCCTGTATAGAGGTTGGAAAGAAAACTTAGTTGTGGTACAATATATAGTTATCGTAGGAGGCAGAGAGAAGAGGGTTTGAATTTAAGGCCATCTTGGGTTATGTGTGACCTTGTCTCAAAATTAGGGGCTTGAAAAGACACTGTCTTAAAATCTAGGTGTGCGTGTGGGAAACCCAGGTGAGTAAAGGGATTTTCTTTTTCTACTTTATTAAGATATTTTTGTTGGTTTTTACTTCTAATAGGTCGGTACACAAGTAATCGCAGTTTTTGCACTGTTGACATTTGTTGTTTGATGCTCCCTCTCCCTCCTCAGCGTGCTGGGACTGCAGGGGTGTACTATGATGCTAGCTAGAATACGTTCGGCAGTGTTATGATACCTCATTTTAACATACATTTATCATGGGAGCCCAAACCTGTAATCCCAGTCCAGGAGGCAGAAGCAGGCAGATCTCTGAGTTTGGGGCCAGCTTTGTCTATATAGCAAGTTCCAGGCTAGCCAGGGCTACATTCTAAGACCCTATCTCTAAATAAATAAGTAATGAATTACTTTGAACAGTTATTCTAAGTTCAAAATGGCAGGGGTGGGGACAGTGGAGACATTTGAAACACCAACAATACATAATGTTTTGGCTGGAGAAATAGCTGGCTGTTACAAGTTGACTATGACTATGTTTGTTGTGAGCAACTGTGGAAGCTGATCTTACAGCTACAGAAAAACTTTTTTGGGGTGTACCATTCACTGATCATTGGATATTTGAAGCCAGCTGGGACGTCTTTTTTAAAGAGCTCAGTAAGTTGATGGCTCATAAACAGCCATTGTCTTCTGCTCCCATCCAGGAACCATTTCCCAATCAGACTAACAATGGCAAAGAGTTGATTCTATACCAAAGTGGCCACAACCAGCTTAATGGCCCCAAAGCTCTCCCCAAAGCCAAACCTTTACCAAAAAAAGTTCCCAGTCACTGATGGGCTGCTGGGGCCCTGAACTGAGCTGTCTGATTCCCAGTGAAACCATTGCACTTCCCAGAGAAAGTGCACTTAGCAAGCCATTGAGATGAACTGTCCTGCAGTCAGCGTTGATAAACAGAAAGGACCTAGTCAGAACAGTGTCTGACTGAGTGCGGTATAACCAGGGCATCAAACAAACCGGTGTCTTAGCAAACTGTGTTGTTTAAAATGGTTCCTGCTTTGTTTAATAAAAATCTGTTTTGGGGGAAGTAGAAAAAGACAAGAGCTCCTGAGTAAATTGGGAGCATGGGGACCTTAGGAGAGGGTTGGAGGGGAGGAGAGAGGCAGGAAAGAGAGCAGAGAAAAATGTAGAGTGCAATAAAAATCAATAAAACAAAACAAAATGTGTTTGAACCTAGATATAATTTAAAATTCATAGCCCTGTATCACAGTTCCCTTTGCACCAGCCTCATACCTGCCTTCCTTATGGTTCCTATCTGCATGCTTTTCCTCAGGATTCCTTCCAGGTGACACAGCCAGGCATCATCGAGCAGTTATCCTAGACCTGCTGCAAGAGGCACTGACCGAGGCTGGGCTAACCTCCCAGGACATCGACTGCATTGCTTACACCAAAGGCGAGTCTGGGAGAAAGGTCAGCGAGGGAGGCGTAAGTGCGGACCCACAGCTTTCTCCAGCTGTTCTTCCTAATTCCCGATTGTACCCTCCCTGTTAGGTCCTGGTATGGGGGCCCCGCTGGCTTCTGTAGCTGTCGTTGCCCGTACTGTGGCCCAGCTGTGGAATAAGCCCTTGCTGGGTGTAAACCACTGCATAGGCCACATTGAAATGGGCCGCCTCGTCACTGGAGCCATGAACCCAACTGTGTTGTATGTCAGTGGAGGAAATACTCAGGTATTTAAGAGTAATCTTTATGCTCCATCCTACTTTTGAGGTATCCTACCTGAGTTGTAGGAGCTGTAAAGACAGAACCAGGTTCCTTGGGCCTAAGATACTATAGCAAACACGATATAGGTGTAAAGTTGCAAGGTTTGGAGGAGAATTAAAATGTTAGAACTTTATTCCTACAACCAGAATTTGCAGTTCAAAGGCAAAGGAATGTGGATTTAACTCTTCAAGATAATGCCTTTTTAAATGTTTGGATGTTTTGCCTGCATGTATGTAGGAGCACAAGGAAGGTCAGAAGAGAGTGTCAGATCTGGGGAATAATAGAAATTAATAGAAAATTGTGAGCCAGAGTCTTCAGACAGTCCAGCCCTAGACTCGTGATCCTAAGTAGCCGGGGTCACGAGCTTACTATTGTTGTTGGTGTTGTTACTATTTTGTGCTGTTGGTGACGGGGTCTCACCAGTAGACATTTTGGTTTTCCTAACTCCTCTCAAGTACTGAGATTACAGGTTTGCACCACCACACCTGGCCCTGTTTTTTCTGTTTCTTAGGGAATGCCTTGTGTGGGTCACCACAACAAGCTCTGTTTTGAATTCTTATTTTTAGGGTTTGTTTTTGGTATGTGTCTGTGTGTGCGTGTGTGCATCTGTGCAGGTTTTGTTGGTTAGTCTACATAATACAGATGTTTCATGAGTTGGTATAATCTGTGCATGGGCCTTGCTAATCTTCTCTGTATCATTATAATTTTAATATATGTTGCAAAGTAAACACTGGTTTGTTGGTTCTTTGATAATTTTTTTTTAATTTGGTAGCTTCATACATATATGTAATCTCTTGATCATATTTGGATTTATTTATTTTGTGTGTGTATGATATGTGTGAGACGTGGCCACACACGTGACTTTTGTGTATGGACACGAGCATGTGCTTATCAGGGAACACTCTTCGGGAGTTCCAGGATCAAGCTCAGGTCTCTAGTTTCACTAGGGAAGTGTTTTTGCCTACTGAGCCATTTTACCAATTGCTGGTTTGGTTTTCTTGAGACAGGGTCTTGCTATATGTCTAGAATGGCCTTAAACCTCACTGTATAGCTCAACATGGCTGCCTGTCTGAGCCTCACCAGTGCTAGAATTACAGGTATGACACTAGACAGCTTGCCTTCTTTCTTACTGGAATATCTAGTGTTGGCCCTGTGCTACTTCCTTCCACACAGCTAAACACTCCTCTTTATAGACTTGAAGTGTCATGGGCCTTCTCATCGTTCTTAGGTGATTTCCTACTCAGAACATCGTTACCGCATCTTTGGGGAAACTATTGATATTGCTGTGGGAAACTGCCTGGATCGTTTTGCTCGCGTGCTGAAGGTAGGCCCTTGAGACTGTAGAGTGCGTACAGTGTGTTTCTGGGGAGCAAGAAGAAATAAAAGGCAGGGAGCAGTAAGTAGGTATTGGGCTTCTTGCAAATCGAGTTCTGTTCTCTGCCACTTGACTTAGCAGAGGGAGAAAATTAACCGTTTATGTCTCTGTTTATGCATCAGTTGCTTGTTAGAAACGTGCTTGTTCCTCTGTACGTGTACAACTATGAAAGTAAATGCTGATTACTTTTCTTCACTTTGATTTGAGGATGAGTGTGTTCATGTATGTAGAAGAACGCATTTTACACGATGCGTTCATGGTTCTCTGCCTCTCTCTCCTGCTGGTAGATTTCCAATGACCCAAGTCCAGGCTACAACATCGAGCAGATGGCAAAGCGGTGAGAGGACGTGGAAAGCACTGGCCACTAGTGCTGTCGTGTGTACTAATGGGTGGGGGGGGGGGGGGCTGCAGAGGGTGAGCCACCTGCTGACTCCAGGTCCTGTCTCCGTAGAGGCAAGAAGCTAGTTGAGCTGCCATACACTGTGAAGGGGATGGATGTCTCATTCTCGGGGATTCTGTCTTTCATTGAGGTGAGAGTGGGAGGACACAGGAACACACGCTCTTAGAAACAGTGTGTCTGCTCTGCTCAGTTTGCTTCCTGCGTAAGTGTTCACTCATAATAGGTGCTGCTGGGTAGATTCGTTAGCAGGTTCTGTGTGCCGGGCACTGTTCTGATGATAGGAGCACAGGGTAGGGTAAAGCAGTCCCTCCCTACTTGGGGAAAAGACCCCAAAACAAAAATAAACAGGAGCAGACGACGTGGGGGTGTGACGTGAGGTCAGCGGTCCTTCCAAAGGCAGGAATCTTTGTTTTCATGAAAGCCTCGCGCACCGCGGTGCTCATCTTTTGGGTTGTTTACCCTTTGATTGCAGGATGCCGCGCAGAGAATGCTGGCCACAGGGGAATGTACTCCTGAAGACCTGTGTTTCTCCTTACAGGTAAAAGAGTGAAAAGCTGGGTTGCAAACTTGCTCTAGAGTAGAGCTGAACTAGAACACAGGCGGGATGCTGCTCTGACACCTCCCCCTTGTCTGTCCTCCACAGGAAACGGTGTTCGCAATGCTAGTGGAGATCACAGAGCGAGCCATGGCACACTGTGGCTCCAAGGAGGCCCTCATCGTAGGAGGAGTTGGATGTATGTGTCACCAGGAAGAGTGCTTCTCCCTAGTCCTGCTAGCCATCCTCCTGATTCTCTGCATTAGCGGAGATTGGAGGCTTATCTTTCTTCTCTTCTCCCGCACTTCCCGGTCTCCTGGTAAACTGTCCTAGGAGCACAGCTGGTTTGATAATGGACAGCCAGACCTCAGTTCTCTGTGATTCCTGTCTCTTCACAGGTAACACGAGGCTGCAGGAGATGATGGCGGCCATGTGCCAGGAGCGGGGAGCCCGGCTCTTTGCAACAGATGAGAGGTGAAACTTTGTCTTAAGTTCTTCTCTTCCCATTATTACGGTTGTAAATGGTTTCTGTGTTTAGGCCACAAGTCTTGTTATCTCTTCTTCCCCAGATTCTGCATTGACAATGGAGCCATGATAGCCCAAGCAGGTTGGGAGATGTTTCAGGCTGGACATAGGACCCCTCTCACAGAGTCTGGAATCACACAGAGGTGAGCCACGTCCTCCTGTGAGAGAGTGGACAGTAGGTTCGGGAAGTCAGAGAACAGATGATGCCATGGTGACGGGCATGATGGCACGCCCTGTGGTCCTGGCTATGTGGGAGGCCAAGGCCAGCGGATTGTGATTTTGAGATAGGCCTGAGCTGCAGATGCTATCCCAAAAAATCAAAGAAAATAAAGTACTAAGAGGCAGTCACGGATGTTTTCCTGTTTCTCGCAGGTATAGGACAGATGAAGTAGAAGTGACGTGGAGGGACTGACGGCATCAGCTTGCCAAGCGGTGCTGATGCGGGAGTGATCTTCGTGATGCTATGGACTCTGCTCCTCTCTGGCAACTGTATGGATTCCACATGAGACTTAGGGTCCCTATGGAACCCCAAGATGACTCCACAATAAAAAAACATCCTTTTTGTATGTTGATAACTGGACTAATACAGAGTTAGCGCTGGGTAAATTCTTACTGGTGAGGGCAGTGGACAAGCGGGTGAGGGTCAGAGTAGCGCTCGGTTGATGGTGCAGATGGTTCTGATGGGTGCCTCCTACTGTCCCGTTAACTCAGCATCCTAACTAAGAGTATTTTAGTGCTGTGCTCTGTGCTGACCGTTCTGCGCTTAGGGAATTGTCACATTCACTGAAGGAGACATTCAGGATGCCACTTAAAAAAGTCACAACTTTACTAAAACTCCTGTCCTTCATAACCTTTATTGATGTCCTCCTATAAACATTTCACTGTCCAATTTGGGGAGCACCCCAGATATAAACACCTCAGCACCAGTGCAAGCATCAGAACCACAGATTCATGCCCATTATCTTGTATATATTGCCACTAGAGCCCTGAACTAACGTGCTCCCCTCTACCCACTGGCAGCCACGTCTTTCCATATTTTTTGTTTGTTTGTTTGTCCCACTTCCAAACTCCTGAAACTTCCCAGCCATTTGTGACTTCTATATATCCTTACCCTCTCCTCCGAATGCTTCCTTCACAGTGTTGCTCTGGGACATGGTTTCTTAGACAGACTGCTTCTGTTAACACCTGGTGTGACTCATTCTTATCTGTTGTACTGCTGGGCCTGGAGTTAGTGCATGCATCCTCTTTCCTCTTCTCTTCTTTCCTTCCCTGCCCTCTCTCTTTGAGACAGGGTCTATGTAGCCCTGGCTGGCTTGGAGTTTGCTATGTAGACTAGACTGGCCTCAAACTCACAGAGATCCACCTGCCTCTGTCTCTGCCTCCTGAGTGCTGAGATGATGTGGGAGTGTCATATATCAATCTGTTGATTTCATTGGTTAAGCAATAAAGAAACTCCTTGGCCCTGATAGGTTAAAACATAGGTGGGAGGAGTAAACAGAATAGGATGCTGGGAAGAAGAGGAAGTGAGGTCAGACTCTGCTCTGCTCCCTGAGAGATTCGACAGCTCTGTTCTCTGGAGCAGAGACTCCATGCTCAGCTCTCCCGGGTAGACGTGATAGCTCTGCACTCTGCGCTCTGAGGCAGATGCATGAAGCTCAGACCCAGGATGGACGTAGGCTAGAATCTTCCCGGTAAGCGCACCTTGGGGTGCTTACACATACATTATTAGAAATGGGCTAGTCCAGGTGCGAGAGTTAGCCGAGAAGAGGCTAGATATAATGGGCAAGCAGTGTTTAAAAGAATACAATTTGTGTGTTGTTATTTCGGGCATAAGCTAGCAGGCAGCTGGGGTGCTGGGGACACAGCCCCGCCACTCCTATTTTAACACTGAGAGTAAAGGTGTGCACGACCATGCCCCGCCTCTGGCAACACACTGTTACATATCTCAGTCTCATCCCATTCTGATGCCATAATTGGGCTATTTGGTTATTATTGTGCTGACTCCTCCTTTTACCAGGACCTGCAACCCTGTGATCTTACTTCCTTTCTGTATTATTTCCCTTCCTCAGTTAAATTACAGTAACAAACACCTTGTTGCAGATGCTTCATCTTCCTTTGCCATTAAAAAATAACAAAACAAGACAAGATCTCCTCAAGCTCAGACTGGCCTTGAGCAAAATAAAGAGGATGAGCTGATCTGCCTCACCTCAAGTGTGGAATACAGCCGCACCTCACCACACCTAATCTACACAGTGTGGATTACAGCCGTACCTCACCACACCTAATCTACACGGTGGATTACAGCCGGTACCTCACCACACCTAATCTACACGGTGGATTACAGCCGTACCTCACCACACCCAATTTACATTGTGGATTACAGCTGTACCTCACCACACCTAATCTACACAGTGGATTACAGCCTCACCACACCTAAACTACACAGCGTGGATTACAGCCTCACCTCACCACACCTAATTTAAACTGTGGATTGCATCCGCACCTCACCACACCTAATCTACACGGTGCTAGGGACTGACCCCAGTGGTCTGCCTGCTGAGCTGCATCCCCAGCCCCGTCATCACCTACTGTACACGTCCATCTGTGCAGCTGAAAGGGCAAGCAGATGGCCGTGCTGGCTGCTCTGACCAGCTGATCACAGTGACAGTGAGGGCACTCGGTGTCCTTCCTGCCACTCAGCCACGTTATCTTCCGAACCCTCTCACTTGCTCCCATAGTTTTTGATGCTAAAATCCCCAACATTTCTTTCCCTGTGCTCATTATTGCCTTTGTGTCTCAGTTACTGTTCAACTATTTCTTATATATTGTATATATTTCAACAATTTTTAAGTATTTTAATAAGTTATTATTTTCTATTGTTGTGAAGAGACAATACACCATGACCAAGAAAAAAAAAGCATTTAATTAGTGTTCTCTGTTCCTAAGGGTACTAACGTCCATGGCTGTCACAGCACTGAGGTTATATCCTGATCTACAAATCAGAGGAAGAGGGAGAGCGCTAACTGGGAATAGTGTGGACTTCTGTACCCTCGAAGCCCACTCCCAGTGACACACCTCCCGGTCCTCCCCAAACGGTTCCAGCTGGGGGCCAAGCATTCTCATTTGAACCACACCGTGGTTCGGTAAAGTAGAAGCAAGTTCCCAGCCTCATCCTGAATAGCTTCTAGCGTTTGTACTCATGAACTCTGATTTCTGTCCCGATGCCGTAAGCCAGAGGTTCTCAACCAGGTCTGATTTTGTCCTAGGAAGACAAAGTGAAGATGCTGCTAAAGAGAAGCCGAGAAGGGCCCTGAGAGCGGCTCAGCAGTTAGAGCACAGGCAGAGGACTCAGGTTCAATTCCCAGCACCCAGGTGGCAGCTCACAGTTGTATGTAGCTTTAGTTACAGGGGATCTGACACTTCTGGCCTCAGGTACCAGGCACATGTAGTGCACAGACACAGGGCAAAACAACCATACACATGAAATAAGAATAAATCCTAAAAAGGGAAGCCAAGGATGCTAGAAAATACCCTCAGTGTGTAACAAAGCCCCACAGACAACGCCTGCAGAGACATCATTGGTGTCAAGGTTGAAAAACTCCAAACACAGCCCATATTTCTACCCATGAATGTAAAGCAAAGTAGGTCTTGCCATCTGGCAGAAAAAAACTGTTTTGTCTTTTTTTTTTTTTTTTTTAGACCTCTATGGAGTACCCATATACAGTTGCTTGACTAAGGCAGTTCTGAGCTATGTCCTTATGGCTAAACAGCCACCAGCAGGTGTCACTGAGTGTGAGTGAGTTGACCAGACGACTACACAGCGCAACTTCAAAGAGTTGGCTCCAGTTTCTGTCTGAGTCCTCTATCAAAATCTGTTCTGTGACTGAGGATGGAACTTAAGGTGTGAAATGCTTGCTTAGTTCAAGGCCCTACAGTGGTGGTGCACACCTGACCCAAGTACTCTGCAGGTTGATGAGTATCTCTAGTGAATTCAAGGTTAGCCTGGGCTACGAAGACCCTGTCTCCAAAGCAAACAAAAAAACACCAAAATAATGCACTCAGGAGACAGAGGCAGGTAGATCTCTGAGTTTCAGGCCGGCTTGGTCTCCAGAGTGAGTTTCAGGATAGCCAGGACTATACAGAGAAACCTTGTCTCAAAAAATAAAGCAAAAACCCAAAAATAGGGGAGGGGGAGGGACAGGGGAGGCGGTGGTGGGGAAGAGACAGAAATCTTTAATAAATTAAAAAAATAAATTTAAAAAAAAACAAAAATAAAATGATCATAACAGATTTGTTTTCCCAGGGTCATTGGTGACTTGGCCACAGATCTAAGGGTAGATTCTGGTTTGTGTGCAAGTCTGACTTGAGGCTTGCTCTTTGACATGGCTTTAGGCTGTCTGCCTTCCAGCTGATGGTTCCTTTGTCTCCGTGTTGTTCCTCATTGCACTGCGCTCTCTTCTGCCTTCAGTCTCAAGAGCTGGCCCGTGCCACCACGCCTGTCCATGTCTAACTCAGACGTTGGCACAGGCATGTGGGGTGATTTTGTCCGGTCTTACATCTAGACTCCTCTCACAAGTACCAAGCTGCTCTTTGGCATCTCTGCTTGGGCACCCACTGGACAGCTCATCTTAGTTAGGCTTTCTACTGCTCTGATAAAGACCAGGACCCAAATCAGCTGGAGAAAGAAAAGATGTATTTCATCTCACAGTTTGTGATCCATCACCTGAGGGAGTCGGGGCAGGAGCCTACGGCCCTGGAACAGAGGCCATGGAGGAGTTCTGCTTACAGGCGGGCTCCTGGCTTGCTCAGCCTGTTTCCTTATCACGCCCAGAAACATTAGCCCAGTAGTGGTGTTGCCCACAGTCCCTCGTCAATCATCAATGAGGAAAATGTACCACAGGCCAGTATGTGGGGGCATTCTTCAGTTGAAGTTGCCGTTTCCTACACTTGAGCTTCTGTCACGTTGACCTAAAACTGGCCAGCACACACCTCAAATTTAAGGTATCCAAACTGAATTTGTGTTTTCCCCAACTTACTCCTTCAGTTACTTTTAGTTCAGTGATAGCTACCCCTCTGGTTCGTGTCAGAACACAGGCCTGGCATTCTCTTTGATAGGTGTGTGTGTCTTTCACTTCCAGTTAATTGAACTAAAACCCCATTTCTCCTTCCTTCTAAACAGAACTAAGGTGGTGGCTTTTTTTCAAAATGTCTCAGTTCCTTCTCTCGCTGTCTGCATTTAGGCCTCTGGCCATAACCTTTGTGTTTGTGTCCAGCTCACTCTGCAGCTTCTCAGAGCAGGGCTACTTATAAAAAGTCATAAGGGGCATTACCTCTAATTTTTCTTGAATGTCAGTAGATCTGAGATTAGCATAGTCCTGTGACGATAATCAGAGAGATGACAAGCCGTCTTCCTGGCCACCTGGGGGTGGGGGCTGAGAAAGTGTAAAGCCCGAAGGTTTCTCAAGTGGGAGTGGGGTAATGACTGCTTACATGACTCTTTCCCTCTACTAATAGAAAGTATTCCAAGTCTCAGGCCATATCTAATTCACAAGCTCATCCCCAGCACAGGGCCTGGGGGAA